TGTGTGTGTGTCCCTTGTCACAGCCACTCTAGGGCAGGCCGACCCCTCGTGCAAACCTGGACAGAGAGAGAGAGAGAAAGAGAGAAATCTGAGAGCTCTGGACCCCCACCAGATTTGGGCACAGCCAAATCTTTGCTGAGAGTTTGCAGAGCTGGTTTGCCCGGAGGCAGAAACCAGAGCACGGGTCACAAATTCAGCTCCACCTCCCCTCTGCCCCACGAGGGTCACCCCCGGGCTCAGCTGGAGCTCCCCACCCAAAATCTCTCTGTCTCTGTCACAGTTCCTCACGAATTCAATGGCACAATGCAGCTACACTATTTGAAAAAGCCATAATATTTGTTGGTACGACTCTTTTATTACTGTCGATTTATATATATATTTGTTGATAAAAGAGGTCATCTTGGCAGACACTTCCAGTTCTTCTGGGAAATTGTTGTCCGATGCTGTATATTCTGTACATGCTGTATAAACAGAGCAAAATATGTAAATCTAAATGTTCGGTGGACTCGGTGGGGCATGTGCTGCAGGGGGGGATGGGGACACTTTTTGGGCCACCACGGCTCAAGGTGGCTCGGGGGTCCCATCCCAGCGGAGTGACCGTCCTGCCGGGCTCCGGACACGGTCTGGGGCAGGACCTGGCCACGGTGCGAGGGTCCCTCGGTGCTTTTCCCCTCTCCAAGGTGGAAAGGGGCGGCTTTGGGAGCGGGGGTGGCCGCGTTTGCCCTCCTTCCCTCCCGGGAGCTCTCAGCGCAGCTCGCCCGGTGTCACCCAGCGCTCCGGGGAGGACACCGCTCCGGCCACCACCCAGCGCGACATCTCCAAGCCTTAGGGGTCCGAGAGAGACAATTCCCCGCGGGAAGACGGCAGAAATCGGCTCCGAGCACCCGGCTGCTCCAGCTGCTCCCCACGCCGGTGCCACCCGCCCTCCCCGGTGTGTTTTACAGCAGCCGAGAGCTGTGACCTTCTAGACCCGACACACGCTGTTAGAAAAAAAAAAACCTGTTTCATATTTTCCGTGGTATCGATCTGCAACTTTGGAAATTATTGGACACGGTCGTGGTAGCCTAAAAGTTGTGCTGAGCTCATATATTTTTATATTTGTGGTGTTTTCCTATCAATAGAGAGTAGTGAACCCTATAGCTGAAAGTGAACTATTCAGAATAAATATATGACTGCAGAAAATATTTGTAAAAATAATTTATTTGAAATATTCTGCCAAAGATAGCTCTCTAATGATCTGTAAGATGTCGTTTCTCTCTTTTTGCTCTGAATGTCATTGTGAAAGGACCTTTCTCCCTGTATCTTTTGAAGATTTTTTTTTTTTTTGTATCTTTAAGGGCAAAGAAATATTCCAGTGATTTTTTTTTTTTTTACTAGAGCAGTAAATAGAGTAGTTGGGAGGCACGAGACAACTTTGCAAAGGTGGTAAACAGGATCCAGTAACAATCACTCAGAAAATCCGGTTTCTCCCGTAGTTCCTCTGGCTGACAGATGGGTTTTGAATCCTGGGACAGCTGTCCAGCAGGAAGACCTTGGCTGCTGTTGTGGCTGTTGTGGCTGCTGTGTAGCTTACCCAAAGGAGAGAAATCTCTCGAGAATCCCATCCCCAGGCTCGGGGCATTTGGATCCCCTTGCATCCAGTCTTAGCCTCTCCATTATTTATGGCCGATTTATGATTTATTTATCAGCCCTTAACGGGTCCTGTGGCACACAGGGAACCCTCACCCAGAGCTTTGTGGGGCTTCAGTCCAAAGCCATTTTCTCCACGYACCTGCCAGCAGCCCTGAACAGCAGCAGAGGGAATCCTGATCTGTCCAGATCTGTCCCCTTCCCCCCATGGGGACAGGGCAGGGGACACCCAGCCACCACAGGACACGACATTTTATCAGGAGGATCGGTCCCTGCAAGCATCCAGCTGACACAGGGGGAAGTACAGCCCTTTACCAGGGAGAAGCTGCCTAGAATAATCTTTTAGAAATCACTGATTTATTTTTATTATTATTATTATAGAGAAAAATCATCTTTCCCATCTTCATTTCTCCCTTTTGAAAGAACTTTCCAATGCTGGGGAAAGCCTTCATTATCTCCTGTGATCCCCAGGTCTGCCGCGGTGGAAACACATCCTCAGCCACGTCTGTTAGGCTCCACCACTTCAAAGAGATTTTTGGCTCAGATTTCTTTTCCCTTCTGAGCAGATTC